ATGGGATATATGTATCGTTTCCTTTCTAGCTTTCCTTCTATGGGATATATGTATCGTTTCCTTTCTAACTTTCCTTCTATGGGATATATGTATCGTCTACTTTCTAGCTTTCCTTCTATGGGATATAGGTATCGTTTCCTTTCTAGCTTTCCTTCTCCTTCGAGTGTGACTCACTCACCATCCGTGTTCGTATTAACAAATTAAACATTTCATTGTACTGAATTACGAAAATTGTTTTTTGTATTTAAACATATAGTAGTATTATTTCATATTGTCTTTAACATAGGGTAATAACAATAATTGCCAGTGACCATAACTACTAATAGAACGTTAACCCCATTAAAACCAAACCAAAACAACGTTTAATCCTGATCAGAAATTCAAGTTGGAGTTCGTATATCAAATAAGCATCACGGACAAAATCTGACCTCAAAACCAGACCAGATTCACGGGTCAAAATGCATGCTGTCTCTGCATGAAGGTAAGATGGCGATTGCTCATAGAGTACATGTAATACTAATTACAGTCGAGCATTATTGTCAATCGCACCTGATGGAGGTTACAAGGAAATATCACGCCTGTTGGTCGGTAACGAAGTTTAACATTCAATCAATCACACTAATTCAAATTTATAAAATCTTCCTCGTGAAGACATTTTGTGTTTGAACAAACATGTTGCCATTATTTATTTCACTGTATATTGAGTTTTGTTATTAATGTCCTCCGCGTGAAAACATCTTGTATGTACAAGCATTTTGTATTTATCTATTTCGCTTTATATTAATTTTTATAAGATTGATGCTCTCAGGTCATGGGCTTATCTAGCGTGAGGATATTGAAGATGTCCGATGAATTGCTTTACGATTGAAAACACGCTTTGTAGTATCGCCCTTACAAGTCACTGACCAGCTTTATCGGTCAGTTAGGTTTGGAGAATAGGTCAAAGTGGGCCGTCACTTCCGAAATCGTGTATATGTCACTGGTATGTATTTAGTTCATGAGGTTCGGATGGGAACATTTTAGTTTTGACATGACAGTGTTACCAGGTAAAATAATGTTATTACATTGTATACGTGCATTGCTCTGTTTATCGACTAGTTAATCTTCCACACATTTCTTTGAACTCTGTAAAATTGTACAGTAAAACGCTCTTGTGATTGTAGTTGTTGGTCTTTCCGGTAAAACCCTTAAAGACTCCGGTCTGTTTATTGCATGCGTATGTGCGGGAACAGATCTATCAGAGTATATCTCTCAAGATGTTACATTCAATTAAATCTGAACAGGACCAGACCCATTTGGAAAATTCACCGGAAATGAAAAGGAACGGGTTCAGTATAATAGGTTGGCTATAGTGAGTGTTTTCCTTTATGATTGAGTAAGCAGCCAGACAAACGCCGGCCGCCTTCCGCACACACGTGCATGAAGCGGTATCCACATTCATGTCTACCTTCGAAAGTATGCCAATGACCTTACAGGAAGCTGAATCAATAGAGGAAATGGTCGATGAGGTGACTGCACCGTATGGAATATGTATTGAATTTGTAAACTTTTTTAAACCATACCTTTGTCTCCTTGCTTCCTATTTTTACAGCTAATTCGTTTGCTATTGCCTTTTTATCTTTTAAACAGTTTAACCTTTAAGTTTAAGTTAGTCGCATTCCTTTTAGTGGCGGTCTTTCTTTAGTGTTTTTTCCTAAATTAAAATAAAATGTCCATGAGCGGTAAAACAAAACAAACCGTCTGAGTAATGAATCAAAGCATATTTTGGAAAACCAGTTATGTTATTTCAGTGTATTTTATAGATTGATAAACAGGTTTTAATATCTTTCTGAAGTTTTTGATGTTTGTCAAGGAGAAGACAGACAGGTAATAGTTGAAGGATCATTTAAAATAACATGTAAAATATCTCAAGAACGATGTCTGTGTCGACGGGCTATCGAGATGAAACGTATACCACGTGGATTCACTAGGTACCAGTATGTGTGTGCGAGTGCAGACATAACAAATGCATTCCACTACCTGTATGTAACAGGTTGATACATAAGGGTGATTAATCTACAAAATATTTTATAATAATAACTGTTATGTAAGAAACACTCCTTATCAACTCCACGCGAAACCGGTATATTTCCCTTAAATATTTATTATACTAAGGTGATATACAAACTGGCGTTTGTTTTTGCATAGTACGTTTTTTATTTTTCAGTTAAAAGAAAAGATTTTTAATAAGATCGTGTTCTTGTGATGGTGTAGTTGTCCCAGTTGTCATTCTCGACGATTCACTTGTGGTTGTAACTATCGTGTGTGCATGTCGTTGTACTTGTTGTGTTCTTTGTGGTGTGTGTCCTGAGCATTCTCATTGCTGTGTGGCATTGTCTTGGTCGCCATTTTGTTTTGCGGTCTGTGCCCTATCGTTGTCATTATCGTTGTTGTGTGTGTCGTTGTCCTCGTCACTGCCATGGTTTTGTGTCGATGCCTTTGTCATCACTCCCATTGTTGTTTGTGTAATTGTCACTGTCATTGTCATAGTTTGTTCTCTTTTGTGTCATTTTGTCTCGTTCTCGTCTTTTTGGTGTCCTTGACGTTGTCGTCAGTTAACTTCTTTGTTGTAGTTTTTTCAATTGTTGTTACCATCATCGATGGCATTGTAAATCGCCATATTCGTTTCTGTTTCTCATTTCTGAAATTCATCGTCATCAATGTTGTCTACTGTCGAGCACTTTTTCGTTGTAATCGATGTTGTTTAAGTTACCGTCCTATTGTACGTGGTTGTGGTTGGTGTTCATTGTCGTCTTAGTTGTTATTTGAAGTCGTAGTCGCTGTGGCTATTTCAACTATCATCATTGTTGAATGTCGTTAACTGTGTTGTGTCTCATCAGGTTCGAGGAAAGAATAAGCCTCGTTTTGACCCACTTTATCATCGGTTATTAGACAAATGTTGTGAGACTCTTGCAAATCAGGGGAAGTTTTTGCGATGTCCCGAGAGACGTTGGAGAAACCGCGATAGACCTTCTTCACACATCAAACATCTCGCACTTATGTCTTTCTTTTCGCTCTTAACTTCCCGTTTTTTTTACGGTGCTCCAAGAACACTTGTTGTAGGCCAGTTATAAGAATAATGTGACCGGATGGAATGACATGATACTGTGACCGGATGAAGTGACATGCTACTGTACCCGGATGAAGTGACATGCTACTGTACCCGGATTTAAACATTTCATTGAGTCGACACTTTATAGTAGCCCTATCATCTCGGTGAACCGTCTTTAATGTTGTCATCCAAGTAGCGATGTATTATGGTACATTGAAGAAAGTGGATATGCACATATGTTCGGGTTACAACATATATTTGTAAAAACAGATTTTATTATCCCAAGATGATCCAATTTATAATATGTAAGAAACATCAGAGGAACTAAGCAAAGACAGACGACTTCAACATATGCTGCTTTACAGCAACTACAAATAGGTCTATAACTATGTTTTATGATTCTTGTAAAAATTGGATTAAATTTTTTTTTTTCATACTTTGCTTTTTTGATTCTTTTATAAAGAAAACTCGCTTTATCATCTGACTTTATGGTGCTGTTTTGAAGATTCTCGATATCATATTTCCCATTTCAAGCTGACAATACTAAATCTATAACTGCATTCGGCACGGCGAGACGAAATGTGCTGTTAATCTGATCATGTTAGGGAGAAGTTTGTACATATATGAAAAGTAGGATATGTTCTCAATGAAAGAAATATGGAGTAAGTCATGAATGCATCTTCTATTGAAATGTAAATTAGTGATTATTGCTGACGAGGCTGAATTGACGTACCGTCAGATCCTCGTCATTATAAACGGCTTAAAGAGGCACGATTCTTTAGAGGATATCGAGGGACCGCCCGCCGATGCATGCAGACGGAATTTTGTGCTAAATCCGCTGATTCCGTTTCTTTGCATATCTTGTTCATACACTATATTAGCATGAATTATCACATTTATTTTTCAATTACTTTCGGTGACCGTGTCTGACTACTGTAGGCTGGCTAATCCTTCAGAAATCACAACTTTATGAATGGACCTTACCTTACCAGAAACTAATTGAATTTGTAGCTAAATATATCATGTATGTTGTGTGCCTGATTGGGACTTGTATAGCAAGTGGTTATTGTGTGTTTTAGTATTCCGCAGCTATCGTCAGGGATGGCCTGTTACAAGGTCTCCATTCAACGTAACAATGACATATGCATGCAATACGTACATTTATAAATTAGAGTTTTTAAAGCAGCGAGGAACAAAAGTTTTGAACCTAACAAACCCTTCATCTCGCCCCTCACAGCGAACCAGAAAACTAATATACACTTTTCCAATCGAATTGTAGTCTTTTGGAACATGTGCATATTAAATATACCAACGAAGATTTGATTCCTCATCAACATAATGGTCGAAATATTAAGGAGTTCGGAAAGCAGACGTTATTCTAGTTTATACATCGTATCGTCCAAAATGTTGTTACCCTCAGCGAAGGGAAAGAGTATGTCTATTAATCAAATTTGTTATCTCTTGGCGTATCACGCAATCACCATCATCTGGTAGTTGAACTGTTCAAAGCAGTTACCATGTACCATTACTTTAAAGACAGTATCGAATGATTTAGCATGTTCAGTAATATTTAAAGCTCGAACTATAAATACTGTGTTTCGATCTGCTGCATTTTTGTGAAACTAACTACAGTCCTAAAGTCGACACTATTTTAACACAATGCAACCGGGCCATGTACATGTCTAACTGTAACACAAGGGAAACATGTCAATGGGACTTAAACCCTCACTGCCTCCCCCAGTGACAAACGAGGCGTTGTTAGTTACGGAGATACGCCACCAAAACAACCAACATGCACTCGCGAGCTGTCCATGTGAAATCGTTTCGGATGAGTCACGTGTTTATACAACACCATATCAGCCAATCATGAATACCGTACCAAACGGCCTCGGATATGAGTGTCGTCTGCACCCTCTCGTTAACACTAGAGTCTGAGAGGTTCATAGGAGATATACTCACTGTCCTATTTATTTCAAACAAAACACACGTACATACACCGGTACAGTCTAACTAGTGTTTTCTGGTGGATTTTCATTCATATTTATTCAACAATGACATGGATGATTGCTAAATACTTTAAACGCTGCGGATTTCGGCGTTGAGATAGCTGTCGGACCCACTTCATATCTGGCTACTTGAGAGAGACCGGTGATTTCCTGTTGCTGTGTGTATGCAGAATAAGTTAGTTATTTGTTTCCTTTACAAATGTTTACATAAACCATTGTGATACTGCTGCACTTAAAAAACGACATTATGATTTACATAGCTCTTATATATACGGAATGCACAGTGGATAATTAATCAAAATATTTCCAACATCAACTTCTAAACAAGTCCTGAGTTATGACGACAAACGGGAAATCTAAATCCGTGGACACCCGGATAGTTGTACTAGGCCGTCCATGTGTTGGAAAATCAGGTAAGAACCTATGTATACGGACAAAATAATATTATAAAACCTATTTAATCCGGACTCGATTGAGAAATGGGAAAAACTCTCCTTGTATACATACTAAACATTTCAGTGTTACATAGAAAAATATTCCTTAGACTTGTGGTAAAAGCATATGTCAATTATATAGAATTTGATACATTTAAATAACATGTTATGTTTTAACGGTAAATATAATCACCTCTATCTATTTAAACTTTGCATTACATATTTTTTATCATTTTTTGTTAATCTATCGCCTGCCCTTTCTAATCTAACCTGTTAATGATTTTAAGATATGAGTATTTTTTTATCTTGTTTATTTGTATTGGACTGTCATGTGGTCGCCCTATGTGGCCAACAAAAACAAATTACGCTAATATGGTAAACAAAACAAGGGAGGCTTTTTTCAAAAACAAAAGCACGTTTTGGGTATCGTACGCTTTGTGTAGTGTACACCTACGTTAACCCCTATAAGACGTTTCTTCCTGTGGGATAAGACCCCCTGTGTTAAATATTCAATATTAGTAAAGTTAAACTGTAGTTTTGGAATTTTGGCCCTCCGGATGTTTTCCAATTTGTCGAGTTGAAAGTCGATTTATGAAAGACACAGGTAGGCCTAAAGCAGAACTATAAAACAATGTGTATCTTCTGATTGCATACGGTAAGCATTAAAACGTGAACACATACCACCTACATCTTAACTATATGCTGCCCGTATTAGCGATTGGCCGTATTAATGTAGGTTCAGATACGATCACCGTCCTGAATTTTATTGAACCGTCTTCACGGTGAAACATGTTACATTTTATGTGCTTTAACGGGACCTTGATTGAATTTGAATTCGTTCTATTTATCGCTCAGTTTTTATAGCATAGTAACTTCAAAACAAATAATAATGCATGTAAAACACATAAAAAACAAGAGAATCTCGAAGTGACAACAAAACCATAATTCGAACTTAAAATCATAAGTTAGAATTATAGTTTGTCATAACTTAAACTAATGAACGAAGTAAAGATTTACATGAAGATCTTTCAAATTAATAACTTTATATTGAAAATGATATACCAATTTAAACAGAAGGCCACTCTTCTTAGTTCTAATGACTTTTTAATGAACAGGCAAAAAAATTAGTATGAGTAGAATATTTAACTGGAGACAAAACATTTACTAGCAGTGTTTAACACGAAATCGGTATAGAATATGAAAGTAACGCGAAGAAGGGCATGCTGTCACTCAAATATGCATTTGATGTCCGTAAAATAAATATCTCAGTCATTTATCAAAGTACAAAAACGATGTAGATGATTTGGCCTTCGAAAATGTTTCCAATGATATCGCAATTAAAATCCTTTGGGTAGCTGTTGCAGTTGTGGTAAAGCTTTATAGCGCGACACGAAAACGACGTTTAAAATATGAATTTTTAGCAAGGAAATGCATGTGGTTGTCTATAAAATGTATTTGATATTTGGAAAAGAAACAACCTTTAATATTTAATACGACTTCTTTATGCGCTGTTTATCATAAAACGGTCAATGCAACGTTTTTTACTAGTCATCGGTATATTTAATTGCTACATACCAAAGATTTGTGTCTCTGAAGGGCACAAGACCCATGTCTCCACGGGGCTCACGGATTATATTGTGATCTAGTACAGAAGGATAGAGCTGGGATGTTTATGTTTTGTTTGACCACGACTGGGGGTCGCTACATTTGGTGTCCATCAACCGTGAGCCGAAGGTAGTTAATGAGTTGACCGGTGTCTAGCGATACACATACACAGTAGAGCCCAGGCACGCCGGTATTTTGGGGACACGGACGGGGGGGTATTGTTGACCGTCTGGAGGTAGCCGTGGCTGTACTCTATGGGATATTGTATTGCTTGTGTAAAGCATTCAGACTACTACCGCCAATCTAACGTGGAATTAGCTTTTTATACCTAATTTGTTGTAATAAGATACCATGAGGACCGCCCACTCCACACCTTATGATTACTTTGGTCGCGTACTGGTACTCGTAGAACCAAGCGATATCTTAGCCTTAATATCATTAGAACACGGGGTAAAATAGCCAACGTTTAAAGTAGGTTAATTTACTGAAGTCCTGATACATTCAATCTGTTTCTTCTCGAATTTACTTGGAATCGAGTCAGGATTTATTTAAATCCTAGCTGTGTGACGCAGTGTACAGTCATTTGGTACATGTATAACGTATTTATTACCAAATGTACAGGTGCAATCACGTGCGTGTATTTTAAGTCCACCTTGTGCTACATTTTTGTGTACGCGTACTTTTTTGTACATTTACAATGTAGTAATCGTTGACAACTACCTGGAACTTTTTAAAGACAACATGTACAAGATGACCAATACTGACACAAACAGGGTATCCAGTTTTGACGCATATCCATTTATAAACCTGGTGTCGGACAACGTAGAAAATGACTCGATGTGGTATATATGTGCATAGCAAGGTTGAGAAAAGAGCTTATATAGGCTGTGTTAGTTGCTCAGTCAAGCTAAATGTTTAATATGAGATCACAGAATGTATGAGGTTCCGGTTGAGATTATTCCTGCGATGGTGATGATAACATCACAGGGCATTGTCCCTTGCTGCAGATAACCTGTGGTTTATGTACTGACCGTTATGCATGGGTAAATACTACTTCATTAACCTGGATAACGGTCAAAGGTTCCTGTAGTACACACGCTGAGTCATCAGAAAAACAAACTGGACATTATTTCTCTCAAAAACCGTACGACCATACGGTCGGACTTTGAGGCCAATAGTCATCATACGATCGGATCGAGAGTTAAAATGCAACACCTCCCTAACACCATACCACTTTCCGGTCTGATCGAGAGTCCAAGCCCCATCACTCCCATAAATAATACCACCAAACTGTCGGACCGAGAGTCCAAACGGTCGGACCGAGAGTCCAAACGGACGGACGGAGAGTCCAAACGGTCGGACCGAGAGTCCAAACGGTCGGACCGAGAGTCCAAACGGTCGGACGGAGAGTAAATAGTATCTGTCCCTTCAATGATACTGTAATTACAACGGTCCAAGTGTCTCTTTAGTTTAAACATATTTTATTGTACAAATATATAAATGGATGGACAACAAGTTGTACAACTTTATTAAGTCCTCTCCTCAAAACATATGGTATATATAATGTATATGTTTTGGGGGAACGGGAGAAGGATAGGGTGGAGAAGGAAGGGTGTGGAGGTGGGGGTGGGTGGGGATAGTGGATGGGGGTTACCTAGATAAGGCGTGGAGGTGGGAGTGGGTGGGGATAGTGGATGGGGGTTACCTAGAAAAGGTGTGGAGGTGGGCGTGGGGTGGGGATAGTGGATGGGGGTTGCAGTGTACCTAGAAAAGGTGTGGAGGTGGGGGGGGGGTGGGGATAGTGGATGGGGGTTACCTAGAAAAGGTGTGGAGGTGGGCGTGGGGTGGGGATAGTGGATGGGGGTTGCAGTGTACCTAGAAAAGGTGTGGAGGTGGGGGTGGGCTGGGGATAGTGGATGGGGGTTACAGTGTACATAGAAAAGGTGTGGGGTGGGGTAGGGATATGGGATGGGGGTTACCTAGAAAAGGTGTGGAGGTGGGGATGGGGTGGGGATAGTGGATGGGGGTTACCTAGAAAAGGTGTGGAGGTGGGGGTGGGGTGGGGATAGTGGATGGGGGTTGCAGTGTACATAGAAAAGAAATGGTGTCTCCTGTCTTCCTTTTGTCAATCTGAAAAAAATGTATAAGTGAAATACGATACATTGCCTGTACTGTTATCGTTGTATCGACTTTACATGTTCCATCAAACGTCATTGCGTCTGTAAAAACTCCCTACGAACATCGTATATCTTAACGCTTACATCTATGATAGAAGATCGGTAAATACAACAAAAAAAATCAGAATTGATCTTTGTCCCCATGCATCACTTGGGATATTTATCTTTCCTTCTCTCTTCAAAGCACTTTATTTTCTCCCTTAGCATCCGTTTTCATTTGACCTATCTGGTGCGAGGTCGTCAAATCCATAACAAACAAATGCTAAAAACACAATACATCACTGTTCATAGCCCTGCTTTAGTTGTATGCACTGTTTTCATGGTGTGTAGTCTTCATCGTAGCACCTCCCGCAAACTATGGAAGGGGTCAAAGGTTATACTTATTAATCATGGACTATTGTTAACGTGAATATAGACCTGAGAAAAGATATTGACAAAGAAGAAATCGAGGTTAATATCACTCTCTCAGGTCTATATAACCATATATTCACCGAAATAAAAGTACTCAATTGTTACATAAGATGCTTGCTGATGTTTTGCTCATTAATTATTAGGGACGTATGGAAATTGTACGGAGGAAAGTATTGTACACTGTATTTGTTAGAGAGCAATTTGACGTCCAAATCGAAGTTACGCCAAGAAGTGAATATTAACCTGCTGTTTCTAAAAATAGTAACACCGAATTAATATCACGAATACCCACAACCATGTGATTATAATCCATCCAATGAGAGTGTAGAGAAAAGATGTGCCATCTCCTATCTTGCAGCAACTATGGCTATGCTTGTGATGCTTAAACACTGCAATGGCGATGACAATATGAGACGTGTCGTTACAGTGACAGTTAGGCAGCTCCATCATATCATCGAACAAGCATCGTCATCGTAATATTTTATCATCCCGATAGTACTGTTGCATAGTCAGTGGTGCTTGGTACATGTATGGTGGCCCTACCTAGGTTCAATACCAAACGACTCATTCTTTGCACAAACAGATATTTTAAATTAACTTTTGTTTCGCTGAGACATCTTTTTATCTCTCTTTAATTTGTAAGCGATAACCTACCAGTATATTATTTTGTTGATGTCAAAATCACGTAAATCGTTTAATACCGCTCGTTCATTTAAAAAAACATCACACACAAATTGAGATTCCTTTCTAGTTTGTGGTTGGGTGATCATGTTGCTGTGTTTACAG